TGTCAGCGGTCCATCAAAGAAAAAAGCTAGGACCGGTGAATTTTTCTAGAGTCGGTCTGGTAACAAAAAACATTTCTTTCCTAGGCCTTACCCCCTACCAAGCTCCTGTCAGAAGCCGAGGTACTGAAGTATTAGGCTCGCTTCCTTGCATCACATGCGATTGTTACTTGGAAGCCTAAAAGGCCTGGTGGAGACTAGAGGCTCAACTTTCAAATCGCCTTGTATTAAGAACTGACGATGAGACCAGACAGTGTACATGTACTATTTGTTCACGAAATCAAACGATAATGTAGAATCATGTATAAATCTATAATGTAACATTATGTAGCCATGGACAGATTTAACAATGCCAATATCACTGCTACTAGCGACAACTAGCCAATACCAAAATTATGAGTCCCTGCCCATATAGTACCTTACCTTTACGTACAATAGGTGTCTTCAAGCCTGTACCTTACAGGTGTCCTCAAGACCCCACTTAAATATACCTGCTACACTTGTTGTTTGTAAGAAATAACAAACGATGCAAAAACAAGACAAAACCCACCTTCACGTATTTCCGAGGACCGGCGAACAAACCAAGGTGCCCAAACTTCGACCAGCCTCTCCGTATCACGACACGAATGCAGGACTATCTTCCGTGTAAAACTCCTTCCATTTTTAGGATAAAGATTCAAAGATACCGTATCAAAATCTTCTGTGTCCAACTAGGTGGGGAATGGAAGCTGTAGTGAATTCAGAACGTCTCGTTTGCCCCACAGAGACCAGCTGAGTAACAAAAGATAATAACACACGTCAACCATAATCGTTATGTAAATAGTGGACATAATTGCTGTGGGCGTGGCTAATGTTCGCATGTCTTACCGACAATGGAGGCGGACGCCTGTCTTTAATTGAAACTTGATACCCGGTATTCCAGGTTTACTACGCACCAGGGTGAAATTGTCATAAAACAAAACAAAAAGAAAAACGCCAATTGTCGAAATCAGTACAGTACATCCCAATTTAACAACAGGTATTATATTGTCCCTTGTGTGCATCTGTATAGACTGGTATGTATAGATTGGTCCCATAGCTACGCCCACCTCTGTCAACATTTCAAAATACACATGTACACAACAACATAAAAACTCAAATAATTCACGGATGTGTAGCCACTTTTTCATTGGTTGAACAGCTAACTGCTAGGCTGACATTGGTTGAACTGCTAATGGTGATGGACAGTATAATGTCATGTAGAGGCACCTCTACTTTTATTATAACTGTAACAATTGTTTAAGGCCTTATAAAACATGAAAACGTAGGTATAAAAACGGTTCAATCTTTCTTTGCCCTTCACTAAAATAAACATCCCCATGGCTGATTCATTGTCTCATCGTAATTTGGCCCTCCAATACTACATCAGGCCATGTTGATTTGATTATATGGATGACATCCTCCGGAGCCCCAAAACTGATGCGCGCGTGCGAATAAAAAAAAAGTTTTGCAAAAAACAAAAAGTTCTTTTCATTATGAAATCTACGCGGTCACGAGGGTTGAGCAAATTGCACAGAATATGGTTTGGCGAATAATCTAGTCTTCAAGTTAATTTCTTTACAATTTCGTCTTTTTTCGTTTGATTTTGGCATTCTACAACATTGGTATAGTTTTTATTAATTTTTTTTGTAACTTATGGTATATTTTTGCTCATTTTGCAACTGTTTTGTACGATTTACAGTATGGTTGAAATTTTTTATTTTTTTGGAAACGGCCGAAAATTCATGCGCGCGCGGATGTCATCCATATAATCAAATCAACATGGCCTCAGTGATAATTACCTGTTGGGCACATTATATCAATTCTATCATCACTAATAGCCAAATACATAAAAATGTCATGCAGCTAGTAACAACCAAGTCAGAGGAGGACCGAAAATTATGCGTTAATATTCAAATGTACTCACACTGAAAGCTGTTTCACATTATTAGATTATTGCTTTTCTTGACTGACTGACTTACCTTACAATTCAAAATCTCTGTCGTTGCGTTTTTCGTGACGGCTTGGATGCTAATGTCGGATCCAAAAGTTTGTCTAAAAACATATAATTCTTCTGCGTCCGAAACTAAAAGCATGTAGGTATGATATTATACCTCCATGCTAAAACAGACCTCTCATCTAGCTCCCAGATGTAGAAGGCATCGAAGCAGAAACATGTTGCTGTGCTTCAAAACCGAAGTTAATTCTAAGAGCAACACTTGTGATGTACAGGGAACAAAGTGTATGTACTTGAGGCTCCTTTGAACCTCTTGTAAAGATTGCCTAGTATAATAGAAATAAGGACTGCACTCGAATGGAGACCCAGCCCTTCAGAAGTTACTAGTACTATGCCAAAGTGGCGGGGCTAAATGGTAAAAAAAGACCCCGGAATATTGAAACTATTTCAACCGCAGTACTTGTGTGAAATAACAAAACCGGCGGTTGACTCTTCAGTATACCGTGAGAAGCGTACGTGAATCAAGAGCAACGCCGTTCTGACAATAGAAGAACTTGTTTTACATTTTAAGTGAGAACTTGATATTTTCTATATAAGCACTTGAGGCTGTTTTCTCCCAGTTGACACTGCTAAAATGTTTCAAATGTCAAATATGTCTGTGCCCCTTCCCTGGTGCATTTGAGTTTTACATTCAATTTGTTAAACTTAATTTGTTGGATCTGTTCAGCTACCCACCGACTCCAACCTCTTTTTTTTGCTAGTAACCTTCTTTCACATTCACCAGGCCTAATATAACGACTATAATGGCTTATATTTGACCATTCAATATTAACTTTATTGGCACAACAAAGGTACAGGGACTTTCATAAGGTCTTAAACATGTAGACATACAAACAGATAAGTGGGTACAACAGAATTGAACTACGTACAAGACAACTTATACTACTTGTTTTAAGGTCCAAACATTCTTTCATATATTTACCTATTTGTACACAGTAAGGGTTATTACCTTCTAGAATGAAATATCAATAGGGCCATAATCCCAACAACAGCTAGATTTGTCAATATCAATGTACGTTTCGTGACTATGTTGACGTTTTGTGAAATCTACATGGCATTGACAAATCGGTCAAACATTGCACTAGCACTGAGATCATTATTGCTGCCACTTTCTAAAACAGTTTCGACAAGTATTTGCTTGAATGCCCTTGGCTGAAGTAAACATGCCAGTCTCTTTATTTGTGATTTGCACGTACCAAGAGACTGTTTGTGACAGCATCACATTATGTGAATGATCTATCATTTTTACTTTTTAAAAGGTATATTGATAATGATTAGTAGAAGTATAGTGTTAACTGTCTAAAACATCGCCTTGTAACATGGTTAGTGAGCTACTGGAGTAAAGGAACTACTATATGTTTCACTCACTCTAGTCTACGCTCTACGCTACGCTGACTCGGTGGTTTTATTCGGTGGTTATAGCAACTGCCAGGGCTTTATCACACGATATACACCGAGGATCAGGCAGGTCATTAACCCTTAAGTAGTGGATATTTGCAGTTAAGAATTGCGTCACTTCTTATTTCAGTGGCCAGTCTTTCCCTCCTGACATCTGCTTGGTTTTTGTTGATACTTAAACACCCAACGTGAACTCAGCATAGTGGCTCACACTACTATGACTCACATATATTTCAATAATGACTGCCAAACAAGACCATAAATCCGAACGTGTTTTATACATACGGATTACGCGGGGCTAGTCAAATATTTGGACGTCCCATTATGTGTACATGAGTTACCTAATTGTGATTGTTCCGGCGGATTATTGTAACAAAAGGTTAAGTAAAGGTTGCATTATGTCGCTGTCACCCGTTGTATTGTTGGAACACAAAAACGAACGTGTCCAGTGTATAGAATCTTACTACCGGCCGTATGAATAATTAAACAGGACAAAAGGTACTGTATGTTACTAAGATAGGTCAAATAGACTGATCCTGGCTGTCCGTCACAATTAGCAGTTCAACCAATGATAGCGTGGCAATTAGTAGTTCGACCAATGAGAGAGTGGCTGCATGTCAACGTTATACGGAGGTGGGCGGGGCTATAAGATTGGTGCTCCATGATCACAGAGGCATGTGGTTAAGATGTTTTGAATTCAATTTTCTACATGACATTTTTGAAACGTAAATTATGTCTTCTATGGCCTTTTTTCTCACACTTTGTTACGCAGCTAATAATGCGGTTATCAAAGGCTGAACAAATAATCTGGTCAAACAGTAATGTTATTAATCTAAGATGGATTAAGACATGTTTATACAGCTGGTTAAAGTTATATTTAACATCTATACAAAAACTTTTTTGTGTATTGCATTTGTTATCCCATCTAGTAAACGTCCACGAAAAGTCAAAACGTACGCGTGTAACAGTTTCTAGTACTAGTATCAACTGGATTTTAAACAGTATCCGTGGTGCTTTTAGATTCGTATATGGCTTATGATCATATACGTAACACGTTAGTAAGTGCTTGGTGCATCCGGATTTGATGTACACACAAGTTTGGTATGTGTACACACATATATCAAAAGAGCCGGCACTGCACTATCTGTATCTGTATAGCCGGTATAACCGCCCTTCGGCGTAACACACCAACATGGACTTATTAGCATGGAGTATACTATGAGTATACTGTCTTTAACTGTAAACACAGATTAGTATAACGACTTATCTGTTTACACCCAGGCACACTGTTTATAGACAGACACACGCAAACAAAACAGACGATGTAAGCTTCAAACATTACCTTGTCTACTGTAAATAATACCGATTGAGTTTTGTGTATGCACTGATGGACTTGTATATAATTGTTATTTTATAAATTAACAATTATATACATTTAGAAATGGTATGTAACGTTATGTATATGTAATGTAACTCAAAAGACACTGAGATAGGTAAATAAGGTAAACAAGACAGAAACAGACAATACTACACTGAAGTAATTTTTCCTACAGGTAAAAAAAATTCTCACCTTTTGGGGACGCTATCTGGAAGGTCGAATGAAGGTGTCTTTCCCACCTGTGCTAGTGACGTCATGGATCAAACCACTCTGACATGAGGGGGTGTTTTTTTGGTAAATTTATGATTTTGTTTTGGAACGTGCAAATGCAAAACAAATATGTGTACTAACTGCTTGTTTGTTTCCAATATTCACCATAATGTGTAAGACGATTTGTAAAAATATTTTTAACAAATTTAAAAAGGACTGGTCCAAAATGACATTTTTAGGTATTGCAATGCAACAACCGGTTAATTATTGGTAAAGACATCAGCAGCAACCTAATAAAACTATGGGTATACAAGTTATGTCAAGTCTGTCATTAATATCTGTTTAAGTTACACATCCCTTTGATAAAGTATATACAAAAGAAACTAGATACATTTATATTAGCTCAGATATCATTTATTGAAACATTTCTACATAATAAATTTCCACATCAACATTATACCATAATAACTTACATCTTTTCAAAAAGCATTTTGGCAGTTTGTAACAATCATCACTTTATGAGAAGAAAGAAACATCAGGTGAAACTACATGTATCACAAAGCCTAATGCACAACAAACAGTAATTACACAATGTGATTTCTGCAACACATTCACAGTGAAAAATATACAAACTTTAAGCATTCTTTCTGAAAAGTCAACAGCAATGTGACATTATAAGAAGGTTCCTTGCTTGACAATCAGTGTTTTTTTTATATCTGACGTTTCTGTGACAGTCTCCCACCTTCTTGAAGTTCATAATCATGTACAAATGCTTGTACATTTTCCTTTTATTTGATCTTGTTCATACAAGATTGAATTTTTTTTAAAGCTGTAACGTTTTCAGTTCACTTTTATTTACTTTGTAAACAATTGATCTACAGGATTGTCTGATTTTCAATTTGTACTGCACAAAAAAAATATTTCTTACCATTGGAATGGTTCAGTTTTTATTATTATTTAAACGTAGATCCCTGAATTCAAGTTTCTGTATCTCTACAGTCCTTTATGATATTGTCCTTTAGGCCATCAACTGAAAAATGCTCATGTTTTGCCCCAAAACAGTTGAGGAAAGTCCTTTTCTTCCTAGTTGTTACAGTTTTCCCATCAATCATTGCAGTGGTTTGATTAAAAGTTCAAAATTCAATGTTTAAATTTTAACCCAGCCTTTTGTGTTGACTTCATGGCTCATTTTGTAGCATTTAAGCCTATAATGGGATGCCTAGACCTGTTTTTATTTTTATTTTTTTTCGCCCTGTCGCTTCATATTTTTTCTGAAAAAATCTGAGAACCAACAAATTAAATTGGTGTGGCCTTATGATATTCTTTGGTCCTGTACTGCTGTGCAGAAGATTGAGATTGGCGAGTTCATTGCAACATCATTGTACTGTTACAGTAAGTAAATGGTAATATTTAGGTAAGGCTAGTCCCATAGTATTTTGAGACCATAGTGACAGTGGGTAATGTTAATCCACTGTGTCTAGTGCAGGGTATTGGCGGTGGCCCATCCCTCTCCTTCCATCACTTTTTACCTCCCCAACTGAAGTCAGGAACCATTTTAAACCTGGGTGGAGTGAGGAAAGTCGGGTAAAGTACCCTTGCCTAGGACACAGTGTCTGGCCAGGAATGCCAGGGTTTGAACCCGAGACCTCTCAATCTTGTGTCCACCTAGCAACTCAGCCATTTGAAGCCACCACTAGTGTGTTGTAGGTACGAGTTATATTCAATTTGGTCCTCCATTTTGGAATGTTGTATCGTTCTCAGAACTGGGCTTTCCTGATGAGGTTGACCTTCTGCTCAGGTGTAACGTCGAGGTGAAACAGGTGAACACCTGTATTGAAGCTGGAGCAGCAAAGACTGAAACAACAAAACACAGTACATTATTCAGAACTTATTCTTAAAATATTTGTGTTTGAAAAGTATAATGATTATCATACGTCTGAAAATAATTTCATCAGATACATGTACATGGTAGAACACGGGACATTTACATGTACAAATTCAAGGTTTCTTCTTACCTTGCTTTACAATGTATGTTTCAATCAGAAGCTCTGAGGACATCAAAATGTAAGGTACATGTAGGAAGAATCCCTGGTTGCGTATAAGAAAATCCCAATACACAACCATACAGTAACTCAGACTATTCTATCCTATACAAATAAATTACTATAGTCATACTCACCTGGCATCTTCAAACCCTGCTAGTGAAGTAAGAGGTCCAGAGACAGGGAGGGTCTGGACACAAAGGCAGTCTGAAAAACACATGTACATGTAGTACCACCCCTAGTCAACAGGTGGTTGTTTTGATGCAGTACGAATCTTGCACGCTAGATGGCATTGCTACACTGCAAAATATGAGTCTACCAATAGTACAGGTATTAGTTGTTCTGTCAGTGACCTGATACTCAATGTACTGGTTGAAACTATTTGAGCTCAGCTTGTCATTCAAATTCAGGTAATATGCATTCAATTTTGCGAGTAAAAAATGGTCTAAAATGGACCTTGTGCAACTGTTGCACAAAGTTCATTGTTTCATTACTGCAGTAACATAGCAAATTATTGTGAACTAGACTTATGGAACCTCATATATCAATGAATATATATTCTGGCGAGGTTCTGCAAATCGTATGCTACCAAATTGAATATGCTTGAGGTCCAGAACTTATGTCACTTTTTTGTCCAAGCACAAGAGTCATCTACCACCTATAAACATTATGACCAAACATGAGATATCATGATCCAACCATGCATATGGCATGCAGTACCTAGGAAAGTTGCCAGAGGTCCCAAAATCTGAGCATTTCAAATTTTTCTCACAACCTACCAACACACCAAATAGAAAACCAATCCATCTAGAAATTCTTTAATTGGTGACTATCAAACAGAAAAACACTGCCCAAAATATAACCACCATACATTTTGTACATGTATTTCATGGCATTAATGAGTATGATAGCCTAACCTTGAGTATTCTGGTCCCATATTCTGACTGTACAGTCATGAGAAGCTGTTGCGACCAGCGGCTGACTGAGGACAGCAGGGAGGAAGGCACAGGCTGACGCTGTCTCACGGTGACCTCGGTACTCACACACCGCTTTCACTGCACGCACATCCCATAACTGCAGCACAACGGCAAAATGGATCCATTAACACATTTGTTTATTCAGTTCATTTTTTATGTTTACCGAGGGAAAACATATTGTTTTTGCTATGTTTCCTCCTCCCCTATCTTCTCCAAACACTGACCTCTGACCGCCGGTCAATGACCTGACTTGTTGACGTCTCTCACCATGGTAACTGGTGTTGGGCTACATAATGTTGCAATTTTATTGTAGGAGGGATTTATACTTCTGTCTGACCGTATATATGAATGTATTTGTAATGAGTAAGAATTAACAAAGCAGACCATATTCTCCGTATTGTTTTTGCTCTGTTTCCTCTTCTTCTTCTCCAAACCAATAAGGTCCATGACCTGAACCAGACGTCTGTCACCATGGCAACTAGTGTTGGGTTACATCATGTTGCAATTTTATTGCAGGAGAGATTTAGACTCCTGTCTGACCATATACATGTATTATGAATGTGTTTGTCATGTAAGAACAGATCAGCAGACCACATGTGAAGGTAAACATCTATGAATTTGCTTGAATATATAATACATTTCTAATTATAATCATAAGTCTGTACTTGGGCAAGGCAATGCATGGCTACTCTGGCACCCAGGCCACACTCACCGTGGCTTCACACCCCTGTCCTCCGAAGCCGTTGCTGGTCGTGATGCAGTAGTTCCCATCCCTGCTGACGTCACAGCTGGTCTGGATGTACTGTTTCTGAGGGAAGGTACAGGACACGTACAGACCTCGGGCATCCCACAGTCTAGAACACAAGGTCATAGTCAAAACAGGTCAGAAAGAATGAAGGTGCTATAATATACATGTACACATGCTGTATCTTTTTAGCCTGGCTATATGGGATGCAGCCTTTCTAACTTAATTAGTAACTCTCTTTTGTGCTGCTTCCTTGCCAAAACGACTGGACCAGCTGCATGCACAATAAGTTTATTCTACATGTCTGCAGAATACTTGATCAGAATTCATACACCTGGTTGTCACTGAACAGCTGCCAGGCAGCAGAGGTTGGGGGTGAGCAAAGAAATACTGGATGGAGTGTGTCAAGAGGGACGTGAGAGAGTGTCAGAATGGACCCGCTGGACAGTGTCACTTGGAGTTGTGGTGTGATCAATACTAGCCCACTCAGCTGCCCAGATCCCGTTTGTCAGGGACCTCCGCAGCAGTAAAATCAAACACATCATACTACTCACTGCTTTTGAACACTCATTCTGATTGGCTAAACCTGAATGATGATGTCATATACCATGTATACCGGTTATATGCTGGTGGGCCCTAAACCGCCACTCCGCTTTGGCAGCACGTCTGTTTGAATTCTGTACAATGATTCACATGACGGATAGAATATGTATGCAGCCCAGTGTTTTTTGGCAGGGAAGCAACGAAAAATGCATAGTATTACTATTATATGCTATAAAGCTGGCATTCAGGCAAGAAATTGAATGTAAAACAAGTGCCAATCAGCATGTCTGTTCGAATTCTGAACAATGATTCAAATGACAGATGGAATCCGATATACTTTGCAGCTCACAGTATTTTCTGGCAAGGAAGCAATGAAAAATGCATACTAAAAAGCTCAGGCATCTAGGCTAGACTGTTGTAAAAGTATCAACACTTTCAGATGAACCTATTCAAATAAACACTTTGAAACCTTAAAACATCTTTGAACCACCCGTATCAGTCGGCATGGGTGGCTGGAAGTCTTCTGGGTGAGAGGAGCTTTACATGTCAGTGGGAACTAGGACAGGTTTGTATGTAACAGACAAGACAAACAAGCCGACTGGGCTAATGGTGCAGTGATGTCTTCTGCCTGTAGTACAGCAAACAGGGGAGACATCCTGGGTCTATACAAGTACTCACAGAGGTCATACTCATGTCACGTCTTCCCTAGCCCAAGAGCTATCTACCATCCAAAAGTTGTGTCCCTACCATATCCAGATCACAAGATATCAAAACCAGAATTTTTGCTGCAGTACCAACAAAAGCTGCCAGGGGGTCCAAAATCTTGTCATTTATAGGTCTTACTAAGACCTACCCACCTACCAAGTTTCATAACAATACATAATTAAGCTTCTTGAATTATGTTGTTCACATACAAACGGACAAACCTAGCATGTCCAGATCACAAGATATTAAAACCGGAAGTTCTGCTGCAGTACCAACAAAAGCCGCCAGGGAGTCCAAAATCTAATAACTTCTAGGTCTTATTAAGACCTACCCACCTACCACATTTCATGACAATACATATTAAGCTTCTTGAATTATGCTGTTCACAGACAAACGGACAAACAAACAGACAAAAGCTACTGAAAATATAACCTTCTCGGCAAAGGTAAAAATGATAGAACACACCTGTATACTAAAATATGTGTAGTTCTTATCAAGTTGAATGTACCGTTCCTGGGAATGTTTCATGGTTTTCATTGTATGCTCTGTTTGGTCAACATTGCATTTTGAATTTTGCCCACTGCAGACAATATATTTTATGAAATTTACTTTTTACATATAAGAGATGGGATGTGACAATGTCTGCTGAAGTTTGACATAACACATTACGAGTTTTAAGAGGGCCTGCATGGGGGGTATAGTGATGACGAATTACACAAAATTTTTGCCACCGATTACAAATTACCTCTGGGCTGATTACATCTTGCTTTGCGGTTAATGTACTATTACGAATTACGTTGATTTTTGGGGAGGCTGCCTACAGATTACAAAGACTAAAAAGGCCCGATTACGCCAAAAAAGGGCAAGAAGACCCCCTTTTAACAGCCTCGTTAATTTTTGGCATAGACAACGTTCAGACATTGTTATCATGAATGATACTCTGGCTGAGTACTGCCAATTTACTGACAGTCACCAATGTCCTACATAGACCGCCAGTATAGCTCTGTAGTGGTTTAGGTCAACTGGTCAAGGTCAGAGTGGGGATAACTGGCATTCCCAGACAAGACCTTCAGCTGTCCAGGACCATCTTTAAGACATGGCATGTCTTGTTACAGTGTAACTGATATGTCCTAGGTCAAGGACATTAACCAAGATGTCTTCCTGTTATAAATATTAAAATAATTAATTTTCTGACATCTGTATAAGTTGTACATGTGTATGATTGTGAACAGCTGCAATAACTTGAGACACCATGGATGGATTATTTATGATACCGGTATTTGGTATGTTGGTAGGTATATGTAGCAAAACGATTAGATTTTAGGCCCCCTGGCAGCTTTCTGAGGTACTGCATTGAAACTTCTTATATCCCATGCTTGAACCCTGTTGTACTAAGTCACAATTTTTAGAAGGTATACATGTAGCTTGAATACATAATCTTGCTTGTGCTCAGGAAGAAGTTGTGACTACTACTTACTTGAAGCCCTCTAGCAGCTTGTTTCTGAACTACAGGGGCATTATGAACTGATTAAAAAACAAGAACCCTTATAAAGGCCCAAAGTATAATACTGTGCTGAATTATTACAGTGTCATTTACGATACACATTTGACCAATGTTGTTACAATACAGTTTGCAGCAAAGTCATGTACATGTAGCCACCGACTCTTCACACCCACCAGCGGAATGCCTGTGTGGCTGTGCGTATACTCAGGATTGTAAATATGCTTCGCCCTAAATCCCTTTATTGACAGTTTTGCCAGCGGACACAAGTTACGACCCTGGCTCCCCTGGCAGACTCAGCTGAAGTGCTGATGACTTCCAAGTGTGCGAGATACTGCCACTTGTGAGAAGCATCACTCCAGGTTACCCTGGGAATTCCCAGACTCTGTTGAAGACTCTCATGTGTGAAGTGAATCCATTGCTGGTTTGTAGGCTTGTCCATAAATCAACCCAGCTGTCACACTTTCATCTGTTCTAGACTACATGTACGTACAAAATGTACATTCAACAGTTGGTTTCCATTAATACCAACGTTAACGGTAACAAAAAATCGGATTTCATTCTTTTCGGTGTGTTTTGGGCTCTTGTAAATTGTATTGAACTATATGTACATAATCGAATGGAATACACAAATTATTGTATTAATTGTATGATGTATCTTACTCAGGTATTACACCATGGTTTATATGTATGTTTCAATACCATGCGTGGGATGACTACACAGTACACATTGGCAAGCAGTCTTAACCACATCCTACCACCCAGGGCAATTACCACCGGTCAGAACCCTGGCACCCTACAGTACCTCTGCCTACTCACATTCAATCTTTGTTGCTGAAGACTAGATACAACCATACAAACTCCCCCTAAACCAGTGCTGCCCAAAACAATACTTCCATCCCTTGATAATGACGGTGACATTTGCTGAGACTCCCATTCCCCATACCGATTATTCCCATGGCTCACTTACTTCAGAACTTTATCTTCCCCTGTCTGAACCACTGTCTGTTGTCCTGGCACCCAGCAAATGTCAGTCACCTGTACAAAACAAAAATAAGATAACATTAAAATAAACATACCCTTTTACCAGAAAGCACATTTTAAAGGCATCAAAAAGACTTCCGGGTTCAAATGCCAGCAGTCCATGTTGTGTCCTTGGGAATTTAGCCATTTTATATTTTGTTCACTCCACCTATAGGGCACCTGAGTTCGTTTGGGGGGGGATGGTGGAAGGAGAAGATGGGCTACATGATTGTACATCTTCCAATACAGTGGATTAACTATAATTATTCACTGCTCCTAAAACCTTAAAAAGGCTATGGGACTATACATTGTAGCTATACCTTAAGTTTACTTTTTTAACATCTAAAAACGTCATAGTCTAGAGAGCACACGACATGTCACATTTTCAGCTCTCATGCTAAAAAGGTCAGAGCTATTTGACGCAAATAAACCGACATTGTGATAATGCATGGTGTGGCACTGTCACATCATGCAGCTACATGTACTAGTACACCAAGAGAGACTAAATACTGGACAGACGACCTCTCATTTCTAAAGGTTTCACTCCTTTGATGCCCACTTTGATGTTTGAAAAAAGATAAAAGTTTGCTCATAATAGATTTTGATGGAAACAGATTGCAAAGAGCCAGGAAGGACAAAAGTTGAAAGGTACATTGGAAAAGTTCATGGGAGTTCTGCCAACTTTCTGAACTCCCTTTTGTCATGGAAGAGAAATGTACAGGAGGGGAAATGATGGCTTCTAAAACATGTCAGGATGATCAATGAACTGGCAGCTGGCACACAGTTGTGGGTGAAGTGAAACCTGCGAAAACTCAGTACAAACTAACTTCCGATTATATGGATGACATCCTCTGGGCACCACCAGCTGAAAATAAAGCAACTGTGTGTGAAAAAAAGCTGGTTTCCCCATAAAAAGCTGCCATCATCATGAAATCTATTGGTCAAGAACTGAAAAAATTATTGAACACACCTGTGCACTAAAATATCAAGTTCTCACATTTTTCTCATTTTTTCTTAGTTTGTTCTCACAACATGCATATCTTTCTTGACTTTGAATGTGCTGGCATCTTTAACTTTTCAAGTTCGTGAAGGAAAAACAGTACAGTTGCAAAGTTCTATTTTGGAAATGGACAAAGACTGATGCATGTGCCAATGTCATCAATACATGACTGTACAGTCTAGTCAGTGTGGCCTACCTGGTAATACAAACTTTAGTAACTTATACTTGCAAAGTAGTTTGCTACCCAATATACTACTTTTTTCAGGCTATTCTCAAGGGTCAAAATTAAAATCTTACAGAATGATAAGGCCAAGTTGTGTGTTAAGAATAACACCCACATCCACATAACTTGGACAAGACATCTGGCCTTGCATTTGGACATGTATGAGGGCCTGCAAGAGGGGTAGTGATTACGAATTACACAAAATTTTCACCGCCGATTACAAATTACATTTAAGTTTCAGAGCTGATTACGACTTAACGCTTTGTGGCTAATGTACTATTAGTACATCGATTTTTGGGGAGGCTGCCTACGGATTACAAAGACTAAAAAGGCCTGATTACGCCTTACGAAAAAGGGCATGCAGGCCCTCATGTATCTCACCCACATGTACCCTGTGTTTCCTATCTCGCCCATCGGAAATTAGCGAGGCGCCGCCTCCGTGGCAAATCTTCAACCGCACATCTGGCACGTCTAATTGGCCACTTTTGTAGCCAATCTTTTCACAAAGTAGCAATTCAAGAGCAGAGCCAGGGATTTCACATGGCCCCAATCCAATTAAGCACAATGATTTGTGTGTTCTGAATTTGAGACATGTCTAGTAATACTTTCCAGCAACAGTGTATACAGTCTTTTTCTTTTATCCTTTAAGACATTACTTTGAACAGTTTAATAAACCTTCAAATTGATAGATGACTTTTTTTGTGGTTGTACATGTATGCACTGCTAGTTGACAAACTTCACAAACAAGCATTCCGACATCATAAAAATGTTCGCATATAAATCATCATTCTAATTTTCCAATTGCAATTGTGTCTTCAGATGATGATATTTCAATTTCAAAACACAAAGCAGGCAAAGCAAAACACGTCTGACAGTGCAGTTCAGCTTTCTAACATCAAAATATGCTTCTAAGAGTGTTAGAGTGTTAGAATTACAAAAAATTTTACAAAGAATTTTACAAAGAATTACAAAAAAATGTATATCACTTTAAAGGGGCTTATACACTATTATAATATTTCAGATTTCTTCATAGGAGTTAAAAATCAAGTCTGATTTGAACATGCTGTATTTCTTCCTTGAAAAATGTGAACTTTTCAGTCACTTGACCTTGGCTTTGACCTTTCTCCAGGGAAATACAAGATGGCCGCTCCACATCAAAACCACCTGTACCCCAGGGTAATGACTAATTAGTCTTGCAGGATATTAATAGTCACTTGACACTAACGACCTGACATTGACCTGGATAGTCTTTAGTGGTTCCAGAACTCCATAGCCATGACTGGAGGTTATGTGATAAGGGCAGAAACACCCAGATAGGATAACAAAAAGTAAACTGGCAATAATTATTATACTCCAACATGATGCATGAAACAATGTTGAGTTTGGTGCAGGCAACTAAAGTTGTCCTGTATGGTGTTTTTAGGCCTGAATGTCTACATTTTTCATGATATTATTAATAACATCTTTATCAGCACTGATGATACTGAATACATTATATTCATTGGTTTTATTTTTGCAGTTGTCATGCAGACAAAATTATGACACCATGAATATTCATACAGTGTACAAAATGTATGTGTTTGTACTTGTACAACAGTACTACAAAATTGTTTCAACCATACTTCAACCACCCCAAAAATAACCTTCTTTTCCCTCATACTGTAAAATACACCACAGTACCAGATACTTATGATTTACAGTACATAATACGACAGGAAATTCTCCAGTTGCACCTGTATATTGGCATCAATTACAGAGAAGAACAGAAAGGCTTAGATGTTGACCTGAAAATGTTTTGCAGGTTTGACCTACTGAACTGCCCATTGGCCATGGTCAAGTGTAGGCAGGCACACATCTGCCTGATTTCACTCCTCATTTTCCCTTAGGGCCTGTATATATTCATCCAGTGACAGTCAAACAATGGTGAGGCCTAGGAAAAAAATGCTGTGTTTCCTTTTTTAGTCCTGAAAAAATTAGGGTCAGTAGGTAGGGATTTTCTTTTTCTTTTTTAGACTTCAGTGATATCTATATAGGGTCCAACTTATGCAATACAGTTAAACAAAGTAAAACTTGCATGAGGACACTTTTATTTTCAATGTCAATGTTAGTAAACCAAGTGCACAACGTTTTATCTCTCGGGTGTCAAATCATGGAGCTAGAAAAAATGAGCAGCTCAAAAAATTTATGTCTCTTGCAGGGGTCCACCCCCACCAAAGTCTAGGGATCAGGGATAGCAGGTTTTTCTAGGGTCGGTCAGGAAACACATTTTTTTTCCTAGGCCTGAGATTGTGTAAAATCAATGCCAATGCAAAATATCTTTACATATATACAATTTGTACCTTTTGTGGTTAGATTGGATATAAAAACTTTGCAGCATTACACTTGGAATTGAAAGGAATTCAAGTACCAAAGTCAAAGACTAAGTCAAAATGAAGACACATTTTACAGTTAACCTAGAACTGAGTACATGTATACTAACATCTTGTTGTCTCACTATATATAAAGGAAGCAAAGTATCGCATCTTCCTTCCATCTACATTTTAATTAATGAAAATGAGTCATCTACATTTTGTACAGTGTACAAAAACCTTGAAACATTCCTCTTCAGTCTTCTGAAAGGCCAAGGCAACTTTTCGCCAGACGGGACGTTTGTTTTTGTACCTAAACTATGTGCAGATTAATGACAGGAATAACAAACTTTACACAAACTCAAAACAAATGTAACCTTTCAACTCAAGGTGCTTATTCACCAGGTAGACATATCCCCCCACTACATCTCCATTACAAGAAATGCCCTGCAAAAAGACTACAAGGCCTCACCAATTTGATTTACTGGTTCTCAGAATTTTTTCAGAAAAAAATGAAGGGGCAGGGCAAAATAGAAAATAAATAAAAACAGGCCAAGGCATCCTATGATAGCCCCAATGCTATGATAGGAGCCATGAAGTCAACATACCAGGTTGGTTTGTCATTCAAACAATAAACTTCAAAATTCTAATCAAACCACTGCATTGATAGATAGAAAAACTGTAACAACTCTGAAGAGAAGGGACTTCTTTCAACTGTTGGGGCCGAAATATGAGCATTTTATAGGAGTTGATTAAGAGCTTGACATGCTTTTTTTTTTTTGCAATTCAGAAAAAAATGAAGCAGCAAATCCCATCTTTCTTGGTTGCCATAGTTACCAAATGCTTCATCATGATTTGATATATAGAAGTGGACAGAAACGAATTTCAGACTTGAGGATAAGGGACAAGGCTGGGCCACCTGAACACTGTATAATTATTATTCTTGATTTTTTCATGGTACTATTATGTTCGTGGTTTTCACAGTCACTTCTGTACCATGCACTCAAATCATTTGTCTTTGGCCCCCTCCAAGCACCACCCTGAAGATTAAAAGTCCCCTGAACATGTCCAGTTTTCTTCAGCCGGTGAAACTTTGCTACCGTGAAGACAACGTGAATTACAGTATTAGATACTGGTTTTCTGGGTGACTTTCTACAGCTGGTTATGGTTAGTTAATAGGGCATGACATGTCCACAGATCCTGGGGTGGTAACAAGACAGTACAGGAAAGGCTTTTTGAAGGGTGATAATTTTATGAACTTTGAAAGCATCGAAAGAAATTTAAGGCCCAGATCAGGAGATAAGAAAAATTAAATATGAAAGCTACTCAGGCTGTATGTTATCTACCATGAAAATGGACAGCATTCAAGAAAAGGGTACTCACGTATACCCCAGTCTCTTTTTTTATATATAATAGGAGAGTTATGCTAATGATATCGTAGCTT